TACTCCTTTTCTAGGCTGAGGCTTTTTCCTGTCACAAACTTGCTATGTTTCTTGTCAGTTCTTCACTTCTGGTGAATCCTGTTGAGACACAGACTGAAAAAAAAAACCCAAACCACTCACAGGGTAGAGATGATCTCTTCTACGAGATAGGCTCACAATTTTGCATCCTCTCCACATAGCCTATCCCTAAATCCCTCAGGAGCTTAAACACATTCCTTTACACAGAATCACAGAGTTCTTCAGAAACAGAAAGGCTTTGCAAAAGATTTCTCATTACACCACACCTCTCCTTGGAAAAAAAAAAAAAAAAAGGCATTTAAAGGTCTTGAGGAAAAACAAAAAACCCAAACACAATAACAAAAAAAAAACCCAAATGGGCTCTTCAGGCTCTCTGTCATATGACTGACATAGCCTCCATCAGGCAACTCTAGTGCCAATCTGCCTTTACTGGTATCCCCAAGCATGCTCTCTCTTCTCTGTTGTAGTCTCTTTAATTTCTAGAAAACTGTTATTTTAAGAGTAATTTCCTTAGTTCTATGGCCTTCTGTTTGTACTACAATTCTTTGGCATTTAATTCTGCTGTGGGAAGCCTTTACACAGTGGCAAGCAGAGCACTGTACCCAGTTGTCTGTGTGGGCTTGTGTTTAATGCACTGGATTAGATGGAAATCCACTGGGGCTTTTTTCTTATTTGTTCTGTGTCAAGATTCTCCCCCTTCTTGTGCAGCCAAGACAGACACTGATAAATAGCAACTCCATTTACTCAGAATTTCCTCTGTATTTTTTTTATCTCCAGTCTTCATTAAACAAGTTTAGATTGATGTAGGAAGTCTGACATGCTGCCCAGGTTTTTTTTTTAGATCTATTTCAGCAAGTCTGCAGATTCCAGAGCTGCTGCTCACAGCTCAGGAGTACTTGCCTAACAAACATCCTACATGTGAATATTACCAAAGCTGGGAATTTCGGAGACTGTACAAATAGCCAAACGTTTTTTAAGCTAGATGTTAAAAACAGAATATGTCTTTCTTCTATAGATTTCAGGGCAGGAACAAGTTTTGGGTGGTCTCCATTAATGAGATGTGACTTCACTGTATACACCACTTGGATTTTATTTCTGTTGTGTCTGTCTTTAATACACCTTTCAAGTGTTTCCATGCAAGCCAAAGTGGAAAAGATTTAGAATTTGAAACCAGTGGAAGCTTTCCTTTGTAAAAATGGACAGTGAGAATTTGGCAAAGTACTCAGTCGATTGCATGTTTTCTAAAAAGTGTCTAGCTCAGGCCCTTATAAAAGTCTTGGCACAGCAGCACATACATGAGTTAAAAGGAACTAAAATGACTTTTTTCATGATGATATGGCTTTGATACATGCATGGAAAAGAGGTACTTTGCATAGCTATTAAGACAACTTAATAACAAACATAATAAATCTCAATAGCCTTTTTTTTTCTGTTAAGGAATGAGGTGACAAAACAGAAACAGTTGTGGTTGGTCTTGGCCCCTGGGTAAAGAACTGTAACAGGTTTGGGCATGTGCCGCATGCGATCAGGCTTCTCTACTGAGATCTCTGACCTGTTCTGTTAAAGACATGAATCACAGACTGAGAAACACTGCTGGAATTCTCAGAAAACCATGAGGCTCCTGGCAGCTTGAGACGACAGCATCCTCATTTGTGATGCTACTTGATTATTTGATGACTTTACAGTATTTTATGACAAGAAAGTAGTCATGCATATACTACACATTGGGGAAAGACCATCAATGACTTCAGAAATATTTTTTCTTCTAAAAAATTGTGAGGATGAGGAGAATTCTTCAATTTCAGTAACATCAAAGACCTAATAAAATGCCTGAGATGCCATGGTGCCTGACAGTTTCAGGTCATGTTGGATGAAAGTTAGTGGGGGTGGACTTTTTATGTAGGTCATTGTGATAAAAGGTGTCAAGAGTTTTATAGCTCAGTAGTCCCATTTTCAGGTTTTCCTGCTTAGCATTTCTGTTTCAACTTGTGCTGTTCATATGCAGATCATCTGCTAGAGTGGGAATCACTAACTCCATTTTCAGAAAGTTGGTATTTTTCAGCAAGACAGTATTTTTCAGCTACAGATGGTGCTGATGTGACTTTGTCACACAAAATATTGATAAAGAGTGGAAAATGAGTCATACATACTTTGATTAAATCTGGCCCGCTCTCTTTCAGTTTCAAGTTTATGTAAGACTCTTTCAAGGTTTTAAAGCTGCTCTACTAAAGGCACAGCTTAGTGAAACTATTGGCACATCAGGAGACTGACTTTTAGGAGTTACCCAGTTTTAATGTGTCACATCACAGGTGTTTAATGAAACCAGAAGAATCCCACTACTGCATGTCAGTGAAGGACCAAAACAAAAGTGTTTTGCTGTCCAAGTCAGCAAACCCAGGATGTGGAAACCTGTTTGCTTGACATGCTCCTCGTTTGTTTGCAAAGTGGAAAATAATTTAAGGGCTACGTGCAATACTAAACAAGAAATGGTCACTGGCCATTACCTTTATTTTAGCCCTTACCACACTTTCTTCACCCTTTAACATAAATGGTCACAGTTTCTCTTCTCTGAAAGTTGTACTGGAAGTCAACAGAGAAGCCAGATTCTGAGACTTTTGCTCTAACCACATATTTGTCTTTATATTATGAATGGGGCTAACTATATTACCCACCTATTAATCTATTGATGAGAACCTCTTTCTAAGAGGAGATTATTTTCAGTTCATAACTTTAGCAAAATTTCCTTGCTTTGTATGAAAGGTCCCACTCCAGGGCATCTGTATCAAGCTGACTTGTTAGGTTGGACTACTCTCTAGAGAAGAACTGCATGTTAAAGAGACTGCTCTCCATAGGTCCTCCATGAATTTCCTGACAAAAGCTGGGAGGATTATAGCAAGCAGGTAACTGGTTTAAAAGACAGTATTATATGCTTAATCTAGTGAGCTGTAATGTCTCCTCTTCTATGCCAGAATTCCTGTGTGATGCTAGTCACATCACTTAACCTAAAATTTTCACAGGTAGTGAGTGTTGCCAGTTTCCTAGGACTTGGACACCAAGTCTGATTGCAGAAATACTAGTAACACATGTGCAACTGAAGTCAACACGGGCAAATGTTTTGAAAACAGCAAATACTATACCAGTGTGTCCAACTTTTCTAGTCAGGCAGGTCCTGTAGTACCATCCAATGACAGACAAGTTTCTTCTAATGGCACAACCATCTCTTCCAAGTATTCTCATGGGATAGAGCAAGACACAGTGGGCTCCAGGGCCCTATGTGTTGTTCAAGCTTGGGACACACTTATCCTGAGTGGTAAGTGTGGCTATATCCATCTACCTAATGATAAGAACTGTGGGGAAAATGAGATTCTCAGCATTTCGGATACATCCTAACATTGGCATTTTCAGTCTTAACTTTTTTAGGCTTTTGTTCTGTATCCTTAGAATAAGAATAGCATTTTTGTCATGTGAATGTCATACTAACCTGTCTAGACCACTGTCAGAACTCCAGCAGACTCAGCTAGATCTACCCAGAAGCCTTCATAAAGTCACGACACCCTCCTTACCTTCTTGCAGACCAATATAGAGCTTACAAAGCTAAATCTTGCTTCAAGAAAACGAATTTTTTTGCAGATGCTGTTCAGCTTACTATCTGCAACCACACAAACACGCTCTCAGAACACTTTCCAAGTCTGTAGAGAAGGCAGGGATCCTCCCTCAGCCACCAGTCCTACACCCAGCTAGGTCAACAAGAGTTTGCTGTTGATCTGAATACAAGCAGCCCTGCGTTCTCACTATGTTAAGGGAGTGTCTTTGGGTGCAGCCAATTTTGGCAGCACAATGCTTAAAGCTGGGAAGTGCTGTTGTAAATACACCCAAGGGCTTAAACAGGAGTCGCATATTCTTATTTGAACGTCTAGGTAAACAGCAGCATTTGAAGATGTTGCAATCCCGTTTCCCTGCCCTCAGGTGTCAAAAGTCACGTGCACTTTCAGGTCAGGTCTCAGCAGTGCAGAGACCCTGAGCCTGTACAAGTACACGTACCTAATGTGTTACAGCACCATATGGGGATCCTTAGCCTTAAGAGCAAGGCAGGCCGTGTAATCATGACAGCATCCAAGACAACATGCTTGGGAACAGTAATAGAACTGCATAGTCATATTAGCTCTGCCTTCGGTGCTGGGATATTTATACCTTAAAAACCTCTGCACCGTGCTCTTACATGGGGTAGAGAAAGAAAATGACTGCCCTGTTACCACCCAGCCTCAGCTTCCAATCAGTAAATCAACAGGGGAACTGAGAAAGAAACTAGGATAAGAAGGACATCCTGCTTCCTCCACTATTATCACTCATTGCTTTTCTTGTGTAGAGCAGCAAACAGACTGAGGTCCCTCTCTTTTTCCAAAACCCTGCTCTGTCACAGGGCTCTTTTCCTGGTCATGACGTCCTCTCTTGGTTTTCAACAGCCTGTTGCATCTTATCACAATCTTAGACAGCACCTGTACTGTTTCTGATGTTACAGCTTTAAGTACACAATACTTTCCTAGAAGAAGCTTCTAGCCCTCACAGCTCTGCAGCAAAGGTTAGAACACAAGCTTTCACGAAACCAAATCCATAAAGACAACTTGCCTTTTGTAGTGCCCTCCAAATATTCTTTTATAATCTTGTATTTTTACACAGCTTGATCCACTATGCTAGTGATTTGTCTTAGGTCACCACTCACTGTTGTTAACCCCCATCATTACAAGCTCATAAATAGAGTCCCCTAAATCCACAGGATATGCGTAAAATAATCACATCAATTTAAAAGTTACTTTTTGAACATTGATACTCCTGGGTTTTTTAAATATGAGTTTTAAGTTTTCATCAAAACCTGTGAGAAAATAGACACCTATCCAGAGATTCCAGGAATTTTAAGAATATCACAAATGATGGTAAAGGCTTAGAACTTGCAACAGAAACAAGTTCAGGAAATCGGAACTTACTTCTGCCAGCAGTTGAGCAGAAGACTTAAATGAATCACTGTGTGAGTTCAAACAGCAATGAGGATGCCACTTGATGCTTTCACAATCCATTTCCCATTATATATTTAGATGTTGAAGGTTCCGTGGCAGAGGAAATCTCTTTCCCATATATTTGTACATTTCTTAGCTGTCTGGAATCAGTTTCCTCTACTGCGTCCTTAAAGAGCTGCTTTGGCATAAACCAGCAGATATATAAAACCAAGTTAGCTATATTTTGCTTTCTATAAACTGTTAATATTGGTCCTACTCAGTACACCTGACCCAAAATGACCTCATAAATTGAGATGAGCATATACTTAATGAAAGTGACTACAAACAGAGTGACAAAGACAACAAGAATGAAAGAGCTGCTCATTTGCTTGAGCTAACTGGGTGAAACATTGACAGGGTGCTAAAGTGGCAGCCATGTAATGGGAAGAACTTGCATCTCTTGGGAAAAAAATGGGACCCTGAACTGGATTCTGATGGTTATGATCAGATAAAAGCTATAAATACATAACATTCAGATATGCAAAAGACCATGAAGAGAAACCAATCCACTCATATAAGAAACACTGACCATAGTACAGTATTAAGCAAGCAAGTACCTGCTGTCACTGAACTCAAATAGCAAAACCCCACACCTCTGCCTCCAGTGGCTGGTCAAGGTGTTAGGTAGCTGAGCAGTAGAAGAATGAATGACTTGCAGTCTGTACTAGGTCCAGATTTCAAAGAACTGACTGGTAGATTATTAGTTTTTTTACCAGAAAGCACAACTCTTATCTGTGACTACTTAATGTAGCAGCTTGCTTTTGGCTCTAAGGTATATGTCCTTCACATTGTAGCATTACACACCACTAATGGTCTTACAGATTCTGTAAATATGACCAGCCTAGATACCACTTTTAGAGCAGTCCTTATCTTCTGTATGAAGCTGCTTCGAGGCCCAGGCAAACTATGCAGGGAACAACTTCTCTCCCTTGAAAGCAGCTACCTCACAGTAAGTTCACACAATATATAAACCACAATTTTCAGCACAACTGAGAGGTTTGTTGTGAAATGCTCCTTGCTATCTGCCAGCGTGAAATAAAAAGGACAGAAGGAGGCCTGGCATTACACAGCCAAACTGAGGGGAGGCTAGGCTAACCATTCAAAAAATGATACACATAAAATTGCCTTCTCTGCTTGGTTCTGTCCATGTCTTTAAGTTAGTGATACCCTATACAGTATCATAGCTGTAACAGTGAATGTTGAGCAGTCATATTTGAAAACAAATCAGATGATGTCAGAGCTAAAGTTGTTATCATAATACCTAATGTGAGTGTTTATGCCTGGATTTATTTTCTAAATTAACTGGCTGGCTTACTTCGTGGAAAAAGAGATAAAAGGATACTCATAACTATCTATCAGCTGTTAATGCAAGAAAACTATAGGATGTTGGAAGAGAAAAAATAGAAAAGGGAATCTAATAAACTGCCTTCTATCCATTCAGATCTTCTCCCCACTTGGAATGTAGGGCTAAGCTAACCTGTTATTTACCACTATCTAGGCACAAATGTCAGCTATCACACAGAAACATAGGTTCACCCACACTCCTATTCAGATTAGTGCTTATCCTCAGTTATACCCTATTCAAGGTTTCATGATGATAACTTCTGGTTTGCTTTGGGGTTTTTGGTTGTTGTTTGTTTGTTAGGGTTTTTTGTGCCTTTAGTCTTCCTTTTCTTGCTTACTTCTAGCTCTCTTCAGAGGTTCCCCTTTATTAATTATACACACAAGTCATGTTTACAACCTCTTGGCTCTCTTACTTAAATCTACTAAATTTATTCCCCCAAACATCTATTCACTACTGAAATCTTCTCCTGCTTTAGCTCTGGCACTTTTACCCAATCCACTAGAAATTCAGTGGTTTAGCACAGTCACAGGTCTGAACCACTTTGGAAGTAATACGAGATCCCATACCTGATTTGTGGTTCTGTAGGAAGCTAGTGAAAGGTACATTTAGGATGTGACCTGTATAACCATAGGAGACACCACCCTCTTCTGAGTGTTGTAGGGCATTGCTGTGTCCATCTAAGCACTGATGAGATAAAGAATGAAATGAGGCCAGATCACCACTCACCAGAAAACAGCAAAAAATGACAGAAATTACTTCTCATGGACGATGCAACAGGGGGATTCAGCAGCATCATTGAACTCTAGACCCTGCTCTATGTACAGTTCAAAAGCTACAGTTCTAGCTACAGTTCAAAGGTTGAACTTGCATAGGTACTTTAAATACTTAGAGAACTTTTTATACGGTTTCTACTGTCTACTTCATTAGAGCTCAACACATTTTGTCTCAGAATGATGGCATCATCTTAAAAATACAGTTTTGTTTTTTTTTTAAAGCATATTATTTTGTTATTTTCCTGGTGGATTCAAGTTACAGGAGATAATGACAATGCAAACAGCAAATGTTGACTAAACATTGATAACCTACATGAGGACTGAAGTGTGTGCAAGACAATCACTGGCTACTAAGGCAAATCAGTATTTACAGGCATGAAAAGAAATAAGGCATTAATCAGAAAGAGATTCCGATGCCTCAGAAAGGCACTTATCCTCCCAGAGTAAACCTAGCTCATAACAGACACAGCTCCTAGGTTGCATTTACATATTAGAAAACTTACAACACACACAACCTACTAAGGTGAAACAACTTGGGTAAGTGCACAACTAGAAAGCCTTTCCTCTGATGCACCTTCCAGCTACCAGAGACTAATGAGGCTGGAAACATTTCACATGGTCTACTCTAGCTCAACAACATCAGCATTTGCTCCTTTGCATCCAGCTTTAATCACCCAATCTTTGTTTGTGAGCTGATGTTGTCCAGGTACTGAAGTATCTAGAGGTAACAATGCAAATGTGTGTTATCCAGGAAAGAGGCACCCAATTTTTCAGTGCAAATCATTCACACCTGAGTCTATACTATCCGCCTAATTTCTCTAATGATTGGGAAAAGGATTAGAGAAATAATTGTTCATTTGGCTCTTCAGGTAAGAAGCCTGTGCTTCAATGCAGTTCATTTATCTAGAGTATAAATATAAATTTTACCAAACAGCCTAGCATTATCGTGAGTTTCAGCAGAAATAACATTTCTGTCATGGTGTTGTTATAAGAAAGACACGTTTATGCTTTAAACATAATTTAGAAGAGGCTTTTCTTTTAACATCTAGATGTTTGTAGACGCTGATAAGGATGTCACAGGAAAAGCTGAGACTGGGTACTTGATGTGTCCTTTTAAAATAAATCCACCAGGTAAGTCTTCTTAAGCTTTGGAACTTTTCCACCTTGTCTGATTTCCTGGTACTTGTTCATACAGGTTTTGCCCTGTGAGCACACCTTTGGCTTGCCATGACATGGCACCTTTCATTTCAAATGAATCTTATTCTGAAACTCTGTGTATGCTAAATCCATCTAAACTTCCTTCTTAAAGGGCTTTGGGGCCCAGTTCTCGCCTCGCTTTTGCTCTGCTTACTTCAGTGCACTTGCTTCCATGGGAAGGCTCATACAGAATCTTCAATGTCCAGAAAGCACTCCAATGTAATAAGGGGAAACATGTTTTATTCAGAAACACCAGGCCAGTCAATCTCAATCCCCAATTTGGATTGGGACGAGAATGGGGGAATGCACTTTTAGAAGTGTATCACAGAGCATAAGTGGCAATTCAAATAAAGGAAATTACTTGTCTCTTCATACATATGTATGTGTAATCTGTACGAGATTTCAGTTCTCTTTATTAAGAGACAGAGAAAATCCTTCTGTAGTCCCAGCTCTAATTTTAAATGAGTGCATCTCTGTGCCAACCCAGACACAGGGCACAAAGCGTTAACATCTGAATCTACTCCCTTTCCAGTAATGAAATTGTTTACCGTCTGGATAGACTGGAAGTGTGCAGCAGAACAGTCTCCCTCTGTGACACGACATGACTCTCAATACAATGTTAAAGATAAGGTTATAATAGTTCTCTGATAAAAATACCCATTCCTTCTTGTTCCAGTCAACAGGTGGGTTATGATTTTACTCTATTTCTTTTGAATTAAGTTTTGCTCTACAGTGCCTTATGTCAATAAAAGAAGCAGTAGCTGTATAATTTCATTCCTAAATGGGGGCTTTTAATCCCCCTTATAAATTATGATTTTTGTTAGTGTCCTTCAACTCTGAGATAAATACTTCCTGAAGTTCCACCTCATGTGGCTTTCATGGCATAACAAAATCCCCCACAAGTGCTTTTCAGTTGTGCTGCTGACTTTCTGGGCTAGCACACATTAGGTGAGCCACGCTGGCTGCTGATTTGAGGTGCTCTTCACTCTTAACGAAGTAGGAGTTTAAGACTCAGCATAAAGGTGTTTGAACTTCAATGCTTTGTGTAGTATTTGTGCCAATTAAACATGGCACTAGCTGACTTTCTTCAGCCTTGGCTAGATGTATCTGGGAAACTTGGTTACTATACAGATGCATAGGAATGTTGCCATTTTAAGAAAAAAGAAAGTTTGAAGGTTATACTTATTTACATAGAGCAACCTGGTCTAGTGGAAGGTGCCCCTGCCCATGGCAGAGGGCTTGGAATTAGACGATCTTTAAGGTCCCTTCCAACCCAAACCATTCTGATTCTATACTACAGACTTCAATTCCAGTACTAAGAAGACCAGTGTATTACTGATGGCTGGCGCTATTTAAAAGAAGTTAAACCAACCTGGGAGTCTGCTCTGCCAGAAGCTGTATAAATCCAGAGGAAAAATGGTGCTGTGTAGCCTATGCTGGCTGCTCAGTGCTGTTCTCAGGCATCAGGTCAATCAGTAACCTCCTTTTGTGAAGCGCCCGTGAACGATAGCGAACAGTCAGGCACTACATAGGTGGCTTAAATTAACTCTATGCAGTCTCTTCCCTTCACAACTTCCTAGGTATCAACCGACAAAAAAACTTTGGCAGCCACCCGGTCGGGCCTGACTCCACAGAGGAACCCCAAGAACATCGCTGTGAGCCAAGCAACATGTACAACAACAGGACTATCCTGTGGCGGTGGTAATTCCTTCAGGATGAAAAGGCTCACATATTCACGCGGCTTCCTCCAGGCGGGAGGGCCTGTCCCTGGGGGAGAGAGGGATTTCATCTCGGGGGTTGGGTGGCAGCCCGGCCCTTCCTTGGCTCCGCGCTGCCCCGCTCGCTTCGCCGCTGCCTCTCCCCACTCTCCCGCGGCGGGTTTCTCCTCAGCCGTGAGGTGAGGGGCTGTGAGGGGCTGTCCGGCGCTGCTCGGAGCTGCCCCTCCTCCCGCTCCCTCTCTGCCCCGCATCGGCTGCCCGCTCCCGCCCCTCCCGCGCTGCCGGAACGTCAACGGGAATTTCCAGCCAGGAAGTGCGGTGGGCCGGGGGGCAGGCGGGGGTGGAGGCCGCGCAGGCCGGTGCCGCTCGGCTGCCCTCGCCGACGGGCTCGCGGTGGGGCGGGCAGACGGGAGGGAGCGGACGAAGGAGAGAGGGAGGAGGGAAAGTCCGCGCGGAGCTAGGGCGCGGGCGGCGCCGGCGGCGTCACGCCGGTTACATGGCGCGGTGCTGAGGGACGCGCGGCGCCGAGGGACCCACTAGCGGCAGACGAGGACGAGGCGCCGCCAGCCCTGCCGTGCCCCGGGTGAGCCTCAGGCAGCCCCTGACCCCGGCGCTCTCTGCCTTTTTCCTCGTCTTGCCCTCACCTCTGCTTCTTTGCCGCTGGCTGCGCTCCCTCCGTCCTGTGCCGCCGCGGCCCGACATGGAGCGAGTGTGGGGTGGGAGCGAGCAACTGCGTCCTGCCTGAGCTGGGTCGGGGGGAGCGCTCTGGGGAGCTCGGTGCTCCCTGGAGGAGAGATTTACCGCCCGAAAGCGTGGCGCCGGGCAGCCGCTCAGCCATGACCTCGGCCAGGGTGTGGACCGAGCTCCCGCCGGAGAGCCGGGAGCGGCCGCCGCGGGGTTCGCGTGTTCTTGCCGGGGCGGCTGCCGCGAGTGCAGGGGGTGGAAGGGAAGGGAAGGGAAGGCAGGCAGGCGGTCGTTGCCGTGTGGCGGGACTGGGGTGGTTGCGGGGCTCTGGGGGTCGTGCGGGTACCAGCCCTGCCGGCGGGGTGACTGTGGGAGCAGGGAAGCGGACACCATTTCTTCCCGGCGCCGAGTTTCTGGAGAGGGCGATTCCGCCGCCTTGTTGCAGTGTTGGTGCTGGAAATGCCTCACGCCTTTTCTGTGATTTATCTATTTTAAGCACGTAGTGGGCTTTTCTGCTGCTGTGTGAGGAGACTTCCTAACTACGAAGGGGTGTCTGTGAAGGGCTGTCATGTAAAGCGAAAGAACTTTGAAACCCCAGCTTTACCAGGGTGCTCGTAGGCAAAGGGGGTGCTGCTTCTTACGCTAGTGGTTTCGCAGATGACATCTGTGCTTAACCCGAGACACGGTTTGGAGTGTCTGCTGTTGCGTAGTCGTCGGCTGGCCTTGAAAATACAGGGGGTTACCATGCAAAGCTGGGTTTCCTACTGGCAGCTTTGGGTGCCCTTGTCTTGGGTAAGGCTTGCGGAGTATCACAAGTAGTATAAGTTAAGGCTACTTTAAAGGTAGTAAGCAGTGATATTTTTAAGGGTAACTTCGTACCAAGTGGTGAGGCATGGCAAGGAATATTATTAGAGTGATTGCTCTGTTAGAGTTGACCTTAAACCCAGGAATATTCAGCTTTTTATCATTGCAGTTATTTGTTTACTTATTGACACTTTCTGCTTTAAGGGTAACTTTGATAAGGAAGCACTATGAAGTTATTTTATATAAACATAAAATGGGCTATGATTTCTGAACTGTAGTACAGATGAGCTGTGTGTTATTTGGCAATTATAATAATGGAGTGTACTGCTATGTAATTTCATTTAAATAAGTAAACGTGAGTGCCTGAAAGCATTTGCAGAATAAGTCTTTGTAGGCAAGGGATCATCTGCTGCATTTCAACTTCCTGTTCCAAAATCTTTGCTAAAGAATAACATTTCAAAGAAAATACAGATTATTTTTAATGGTTTTAAAGTGATGATTGTATTTGGTATGTTCTGTGCTTCCACAGTCCTCTCTTCATTTATTTTGTTCACAGGGAAAATTAGTACCAAGCAGATGAATTCTCTGTCATGCTCTTGAGCCTTACATGCTGTAAGGTGCTTACACCATCGCTGTCAAGCTCACAGAACAGGGTTGAAAATACAGCACTTTGTTTTTATTGACACCCAGAGTCTCTGTGCTACGTACTGCAAAGTATCAACTTTTGAAATAGTACTTCAGCCAAAGCATTTTTTATTTTTTTCAGAAGAGAACATAGCTGCCCCTTCTAGGAAAGCGTTAAACAAGATGTCATTCTGAGACGTCATCCTGTCTGCGATGTTTTGTAATCTACAGGAAAGACTACACTCTAATTGAGAAAACGAAAGAGGAAAAAGCAGCTGGTAACTATCCAGATGTAGATCCTCTGTTCTGTAAGGTTCCCTGGCTTAAGAATTTAACTGAGAGTTACGCTGAAATACTACTGTCAGGATCTACCAGAGTGTGGAGATTTCAGGGAAACTCAGTGCTGAAACGTACAAGATCTCTTAAATAATGTAATCTGAAATACTAAACAGAAGGGGAAAAGCCTTTTTTTTTTTCCACCCTTTGTCCCTTTTTTAAAGATATGTCAATCAGTGTTAGAGTCATGAAAGAAGGAGTTTATTTTCTCATGCAAGTAATAAATATACTTTAAGTAGAGCTAAGGTTGTAAAAACTGAGCACAGCTTTGTATCACTTTGTCATGTTGTGTGTTTTTTTTTAAAGGAAAATGTTGTAGGAAACTTTGTACCTGTGTTCAGGTAGTTCAGTCAGCACCTCGGCAATGTTTTTGTGATACATATTTTGAAATCAGAAGATTGTGCTGGGGGAAAAGAAAAAGTTGTGGAAGAGAGAACAAGGAAATCTTGGCCAAGGGCAAGAGGGTAGAAAGCATGCAATGATGCTTCATTTATATGCACAGTCAAAAATTTTCTGCCTCATTTATTGAAAAACTAATTTAATTGTTTCTCATTTACTACATATTTTACTTTTAAAACAAGTTTTAATAACAAACTTTTTTTTCATTGAGATAGCATTATGTGAATTCAGTAACGGATAGCTACAAATAAATGTCACTGAAGCAAATTTGCTAACTAATAGATTTTTGTGTTTTCATGAAAAACAGGGCTCTTCTTTTCATTCACTGCCTTTTCCCAAAATCTTCCCTTGCCACTGTCACATAAGTGCATGCAAACTCCAGGAGTAAGTGGCGAGGAATTCATGTCATCGTGCATTTCATTGCAGAGCATGGATGGACAGGAACCAAGTTTAAACACCTGTGAGCCTGCACTGTCAAGGATACTCTGTGGTGACTAGAAAAGTTAGGGTTCAGGTCTCACTCAAAAGTTAAGTGAATACAAAATGTTGTTTTGAAGTTTCAGAGGTATAGTGAAAGACATTTTTTTTTACTTAGTTGGCTTTCTGATGTAGCTAGTGATGAGCAAATTCTGCAGCCTTTGGAGATTCTGCTTAACTGTTCTGTTTTTTCAGAGACTACAAAATGTATTTGTTAAAATCATCTCATCTTTCAGTGCTGTAAACGTTTGCCGACTCTAAATTCAGAAGTGTTAGTCTTAAAGAAAAATGTTCCTCACTTCCCTAAGCAGCTAATGGAAATTGTAGAGTTAAACTTTTTTTTCCCAGCATGTTGATAGCTTTTCTTTGCTTGTCAGACACAAAATAACACAGCTATTGTAAAGCAAAGAGGATGTTTTGTAATGAGAATTTCAGACAAACATTCTCGTTATAAACTCCTGGTCTTGGTCACTTTTAGCTCCAACACAGGTATTTTAGAAGTGGAAGTTGTAATTTGATGATGTCCTTTAAATAAGCTGTGAGCCTTTCATGAAGTTCTATGTTGATAAGGTCATAATTATGGTTGTCATTTGCTGTGCCCTTAGGTCAGTCAGGCACTAAGTTTGCATCTAATTTTGAGCATAGAAATAATTCAGTGAGTCTTCAGTGCTTTCATTTAAACATGTATTTTGCCAAAGCACTGTTGACTGTTTCAGAAGTCAAGCCTTAAAGATGTTTCAAATTGTTCTAGTCTCCAGGTGAAATCCTTTGTTCAGGATTTAGGTGGAGCTGACAGTCCATGTGTGGGGAGGAAGCTACTGTTGCTGCTGCTAGCAATTTTTCCCCCATTCAACTTTTATGTTATTTTGAAAAGCACTGCCAGATATAATTTTTTCTTAAATTAAAATGCAGAATTAGCTAAACTGAAATATTTCTGTATCTCATTGCATCCTTCAAGCAAACTACTGTTACAGATGGATCAAGAGCAAAGCAGGTCTGAGTTATGTGGTATTGGGTTTTTTTGTTTGTTTTCTTTGTTTCTTTTAAAGATCATATTTCTTTCTATCTGTTTGAACACTTATGGACAGATTTTAACACAGAGATTAAGTAAAAACAGAGTGAGCAGATGTTTTTTTGAGTCTTGGTGGGTTAGGTTACTGGAGAAAATAGGCTGCAGAAATTGTACTATTTACTGTTTATGGGTTTTTTTAAAAAAGCCTTAGTAACCACTTAGCACCTGTAGATTTGAATCCTAGGATGTGACTGCAACGGTGCTAGACTTGGTTTCTACCTGTTTGGTTCCACTTACTGGTATTATTTAACTGACCATTTCTGTCATGTTGCTCTCAGTGGCTGTTCAAAACCAAAAGGACACTGAGAATCCCTTAGCTCACTTTTGTATTTCCAGTGGTAACAGCCCTTGCTGTTTTATGAGTCCTCTTCTGCTGCCATTGTTCATGAGGTGAGGGACTGTTGTCGCCAGTAAGACCCCAGATCCCATGTGGAAGTACCTGATGATACAGCAAACCTTATGTGAACTGGACTTCTGAAATCTTGGGTTTGCTTGTTACTTGGCTTCTCAGAAACTGTTTTTCCCCACCTCCCCTGCCCCTCCTCAAAAGGAAAAGGTTTTGCTGTTTAATATTGATGATTCTTCATACCTGAGGCTTACAGAATGGGTATGTGTGGCTTTTTAAGTTAAAGTTTTACTTTGATAAA